GAAGCCAAAATGAAAAAAAAAAAAGACCCCAACCTTATGAAAAATAAAAAGAATCATAACAAAATACTATTGTATGCCAATAAATTCGATAACAGATAAAATGGACAAATTCCTAGAAAGACAACGTCATACACAACTGACTCAAGAAGGAACAATCTTAATAGCCCTGTAGCAAGTGAAGAGACTGATTAGTAATCAAAAAACTACCCACAAAGAAAAGTCAAGGAAGCAAAAAAAAAAAAAAAAAAAAGTCAAGGAAGCTTCACAGCTGAAGTCTTCTGAACATTTAAAAAATAATTAGGCAGGCCGGGTGCAGTGGCTCACGCCTGTAATCCCAGCACTTTGGGAGGCCAAGGTGGGTGGATCACGAGGTCAGGAGATTGAGACCATCCTGGTCAAAATGGTGAAACCCCGTCTCTACTAAAAATACAAAAAATCAGCTGGGCATGGTGGCGCGTGCCTGTAATCACAGCTACTCAGTAGGCTGAGGCAGGAGAACTGCCTGAACCCAGGAGGCAGAGGTTACAGTGAGCCGAGATCGCACCATTGCACTCCAGCCTGGGTAACAAGAGCGAAACTCCGTCTCAAAAAATAAATAAATAAATACATAAATAAATAAATAAGTAAAGATAATAATAAAAAATAAAAACAAACAAATAAATGACATTTATAAAAAAAATTAAAAAAATAAATAATTAGGGCTGGGCACATTGGCTCACGCCTGTAATTTCAGCACTTTGGGAGGCTGAGGTGGGCAGATCACCTGAGGTCAGGAATTCAAGACCCGCAGGGCCAACACGGTGAAACCCTGTGTCTACTAAAAATATAAAAATTAGTTGGGTGTGTATAGTCCCAACTACTCGGGAGGCTAAGGCAGGAGAATCACTTGAACCAGGGAGGTGGAGGTTGCAGTGAGTGGAGATCGCACCACTGCACTCCAGCCTGGGTGAGAGAGCCAGACTCCATCTCAAAATAAATAATAAACAAACAAATAAATAACCTAATCAAAATAAGCAAAGGAAGATATACAAAGGGCCAACATGCACCTGAAAAGATGCTCAGCATCACTGACCATCAAGAAAATGTAAATCAAAACTACAATGAAATACACATTCACTAGGATTGCTAGAATCTAGAAGATACATAGGCCAAGGCACAAGAGAACAAAAAAATAAAGACACATAACAAGTGTTGGTGAATATGTGGAAAAATCATTATCCTTACACACTGCTGGTAGGAATTCAAAATGGCACACAAGTGTTGGTGAATACATGGAAAAATCATTATCCTTACATATTGCTGATAGGAATTCAAAATGGCGCAGCTACTTTGAAAAACAGTCTGGCAGTTCCCCAAACATTTCAATATAGAGTTATTGCTGGGTACGGTTGTTCATGCTTTGCCTCCCAAAATCTGTAATCTCAGCACTGTGGGAGACCAAGGCAGGAGTTCGAGACCAGCTTGGCCAACATAGTGAAACCGCATCTCTACTAAAAAAAATACAAAAATTAGCTGGGCGTGGTGGTGCATGCCTGTAATCCCAGTTACTTGGGAAGCTAAGACACAATAACTGATTAAACGCAGGAGATAGAGTTTTCAGTGAGCCAAAGATTGTGCCACTGCACTCCAGCCTGAGTGACAGAGCAAGACCCTGTCTCAAAAAAAACCCAAAAAGCACAGAGTTATCTCATGACCCAGCAATTCTAGTCCTAGTTATATACCCCTAAAAAATTAAAATACATATCCATACAAAACCCTGTACCAGACTGTTCATAGCAGCATTACTCATTACTCATAAAAACTCATAAAACGCAGAAACAGGCTGGGTGCAGTGGCTCACATCTGTAATCCCAGCACTTTGGGAGGCTGAAGAGGGCGGATCACTTGAGATCAGGAGTTCGACACCAGCCTGACCAACATGGTGAAACCCCATCTCTACTAAAAGTATAAAATGTTAGCCAGGGGTGGTGGTGGCCACGTGTAATCCCAGCTACTCGGGAGGCTGAGGCAGGAGAATCACTTGAACCTGGGAGATGGGAGTTGCAGTGAGCTGAGATTGGGCCACTGCATTCCAGCCTGGGCAATAGAGCCAGACTCATCTCAAAAAAAAAGTCAGAAACAACCTAAACGTCCAATAGCTACAAATGGATAAATAAAATGTATAATATATCCATATAATGGATTGCTTGATCATAAAAAGGAATGAAGTACTGACACATGCTATAACATGGATGAACCTTAAAAACATTATGCTGGTTGGGTGCAGTGGTTCATGCCTGTAATCCCAGCACTTTGGGAGACCAAGGGGGGCGGATCACAAGGTCAGGAGTTCGAGACCATCCTGGCCAACACGGTGAAACCCTGTCTCTACTAAAAATACAAAAAAATTAGCTGGGCATGGTGTCACATGCCTGTAGTCCCATCTATTTGGGAGGCTAAGGCAGGAGAATTGCTTGAACCCAGGAGGCGGAGATTGCAGTGAGCCAAGATCCTGCCACTGCACTACAGCCTGGGCAACAGAGTGAGATTCTGTCTCAAAAAAAAAAAAAAAAAAAAAAAAAATTATGCTAAGTAACAGACCACTGATGAGTCTTTTCAAGCAAAACAGGAAATTCTATGACAGAAAGTAGTGGTGGCAGGTGGGATGGAGGATAGAGGGTAATAGCTAAAAGGTATGTGGTTTCTTTTATTTTTCACTTATTCTGATTAAGAATGTCAGGTTTCCTTGTGAGGTGATGTAAATGTACTAAAATTGACTATGGCAAAAGTTGTCCCATATATATGCACACATAATTATCTGTGAATAATTAAAATCACTAAATTACAAAATATAAATGGTTGAATTATATGGTATGTAAACCATATCTCAATAAAGGTTTTTTAAAAATGTAAATCTTTAGTAAAGTAAGAAAGAGATATTCTTTTTATAACAATGTGTTTATTCTGCTTCTATGTAAATACAGGCCACTTTTGGAGACAATGACTTTTAAAAACATAAGGAAATACGGCTGGGTAAAGTGGCTCACGCCTGTAATCCCAGCACTTTGGGAGGCCAAGGTGGGCAAATCAGGAGGTCAAGAGATCAAGACCACCCTGGCCGGCCGGGCGCGGTGGCTCAAGCCTGTAATCCCAGCACTTTGGGAGGCCGAGGCGGGTGGATCACGAGGTCAAGAGATCGAGACCATCCTGGTCAAAATGGTGAAACCCCGTCTCTACTAAAAATACAAAAAATTAGCTGGGCATGGTGGTGTGTGCCTGTAATCCCAGCTACCCAGGAGGCTGAGGCAGGAGAATTGCCTGAACCCAGGAGGCGGAGGTTGCAGTGAGCTGAGATCGCGCCATTGCACTCCAGCCTGGGTAACAAGAGCGAAACTCCAACTCAAAAAAAATAAATAAATAAAATAAAATAAAATAAAAAGAAGACATTTATTCCAATAATTCTTCCACTGCATGAAACACCTCTTTAATATTCTACCTGTATTTGGAACTACCTTCAGAGTATATTGCACAATCCTTTGAATATTTTCTGTGTAAAAAAATCTGATGTTTTTTTATTTTTATCCATTATATACAAGAGAGAACTGAGACTTAGAGAGGTTGGTCTCTACTAGTCTTATCCTCTCCAAATTCTTTTTCTTCATATTCTATATTTTATAGAGTCTAGAAAGACACTAACTTTATAACTAATTATAAACATACAGATCCTCTAGTTTTTTTTTTTTTTTTTTTTTTTTTGAGATGGCATTCTATTCTTGTTGCCCAGGCTGGAATGCAATGGCACAATCTCAGCTCACTGTAACCTCCACCTCCCAGGTTCAACCCATTCTCCTGCCTCAGCCTCCAGAGTAGCTGGGATTACAGACACCTGCCACCACACCCAGCTAATTTTTTATATTTTTAGTAGACAGGTTTTCACGTTGGCCAGGCTGGTCTCTAACTCCTGACCTCAGGTGACCCCCCCCACCTCAGCCTCCCAAAGTGCTGGGATTACAAGAATGAGCCACTGCCAGCATCCTGCTTACAATTTTTTTAATAGCCAAATATTTAAAGCCAAATCTGATGAAAATGAGTAACATTTTCAAAGTCAAATATAAACAGTTCTCTATCTTGTTACTATGCTTAATTTTCTTTATATAGCCTGACAAATATAGTACATATTTATTTGTTGCCTGTCTTCTTACTAGTATGTAAGAGCAGAAATTTATATCACCGGTGCCTAAAATAGTACCTGTTGGGGCCGGGCGTGGTGGCTCACGCCTGTAATCCAAGCAGTTTGGAGGCCAAGGTGGGCGGATCACCTGAGGTCAGGAGTTCAAGACCAGCCTGACCAACATAGGGAAACCCCGTCTTAAAAAAAAAAAAAAAATAGTACCTGTTGGAAAGTCAGTAAATATGTGATTTCCTGGACTTTCAAAATAATTCCTTGATGGGCATTTCTTTATATATAAAAATTTCTTTATAAACATATAGCTAGTCTTATAATTCTACAGTCACATAATGTGTAATTTAGAAATTCTCAAAGTTAGTTGATAAGGCACACAAAGTTCAGAAATGTATATTCCTATCTTCCAATCAAAACTTGAGGCAATATTTTAAAATGCTGATAATTTCCTAAGTTTTGGGTGGAAACTATCATGGTAGTACAGTCCTTAAATCAAAGAAACTGGGTTTCATTTTTGTTTGTTTTTGTTTTTATCCTCAGTCCTCAGGAAAAGTAAGGAACTGGGTTTCAAGCACTGAATTTAGTAATACAAATCTTAAATCTTTCCACACTAACAAAGTACTCTGACACTGAAAAACAAGCTGTTTCAGGCTACTGAAATGCTGTAAATATGTCCGTCCACATCATGTAAAAATATTATTTTCTATCAAAATCATTATAAATAATTTTATAATAAGAATATAATTGATTTAAACTTTGAAAGGTCCCTTCCACTCAACGTTTAGGGAAAAAAAATAAAAAAGCCCACTGAGGAAAAAAAGATCAATATCAAACCTACCGGATCAACAGTAGGCAAAACATCTTTCTTCTCCAGGCTGTCGACTTCATCTTCATCTGTGCTATATTCTTCCATTGTTTCACCACTAACAAAGTGGATGACTCTCCTTGGAACTTTCTTCTTTTTTCCTATGACTCCCAGTTCTACATTTTCAAAGCCTCTTTCATTACTCATCTATATCAACAATATTTTAAGAAAATGAGAGTTTCAAGTGAGATTAAATTTTCTTTCATTACACATGAAAAACGTTTGGTAGCTTTATTTTAGTAGATAAAGAAACAAACAGCCGGGCGCGGTGGCTCACGCCTATAATCCCAGCACTTTGGGAGGCCGAGGCGGGTGGATCACGAGGTCAAGAGATCGAGACTGGTCAACGTGGTGAAACCCCGTCTCCACTAAAAAAAACTACAAAAAATTAGCTGGGCATGGTGGCGCGTGCCTGTAGTCCCAGCTACTCAGGAGGCTGAGGCAGGAGAATTGCCTGAACCCAGGAGGCGGAGGTTGCGGTGAGCCGAGATCGCACCATTGCACTCCAGCCTGGGTAACAAGAGTGAGACTCTGTCTCCAAAAAAAAAAAAAAGAAACAAACAAATCTTTAAGCAGTTTTGGTTTGTTCCGAGACAGGGTCTGACTCTGTTGCCCAGGCTGGAGTGCAGGGGCAAGACTACAGCAGACCAAATAAAACCCATCTGTAAACCAAAACTGGAAAGCAGATCATCAGTGTTTTATCTCTGGACTTCCAGATGTCTTCATCAATAATAGATATGTGATAACAGAGATTTCTGATAGTAAAAAAAATTTCACAAGTTTTTAAACTATAGTAGTCTATGGATATCTTTTTTTTTTTTGAGACAGAGTCTCACTCTGTCACCCAGGCTGGAGTGCAGTGGACCAATCTCAGCTCACTGCAACCTCCGTATCCCAGGTTCAAGCAATTCTCCTGCTTCAGCCTCCAGAGCAGCTGGGACTACAGGCGTGTGCCTCCACGCCCGACTAACTCTGTGTTTTTAGTAGAGATGGGGTTTCACCATGTTAGCCAGGATGGTCTCAATCTCCTGACCTCATCATCTGCCCACCTCAGTCTCCCAAAGTGCTGGGATTACAGGCGTGAGCCACTTCGCCCAGCCAGGTTTTTTTTTTTTCCCCCAGACAGGGTCTGGCTGTTGCCCAGGCTGAAGTGCTGTGGTGCAATCATGACTCACTGCAACCTCAAATTCCTGACCTCAAGTGATCCTTCCATCACCACCTCCTGAGTAGCTGGGACTATAGGAGCATATAACCATGCCTTGCTAATTTTTTTTATTTTGTCTATAGAGACAGTGTCTGGCTATGTTGCCCAGGCTGGTCTCCAACTCCTGACTTTAAGCAATCCTCCCACCTCAGCCTCCCGAAGTTTAGGATTACAGGCATGAATCACTGTAACTGAGCTGGAATTCTAGTACAAATTTTACTCCTCGGAAAATGTTAATTTTACTTCACACATACAGCCATGTTCCAAAGTTACATAGATATTACAGGAGATGGTGAAGAGCTTCCTTTCATTGTCATCTTGTCTAAAGTTTAAAGCCCTAAGAAAGCTACCTTAAGTTTACAAACCACAGTGAAAATAAAAAGAAAAAAGGAATTATTAAAAAAAAAAAAAAAGGAAAACTACCTTAAGTTTAAACTTCCAGATTTCAAAAAGGTACAATACACACAATTGTGAAGAAAACTCTGGCAACAGTGGTTACCCCATGAATAGAATCTAAGATAGGGAAGAAGGAGCAAGTGAGAGAGTAGTCAAGGGAGGCCTTTTATTCTTTTTGCATATGCAGGACTAGAGCACTATCATGATTAGAGCTCCTGTTGGTAGAATTCTCTAGGGTAGTCTAGAGTATAAAAATTGTGTTCTCTGTAAGGATTCTTATGGTTATAAGCAAATATAATTTAAACCCACGACTGCTGTTGAACCACTAGAAAAGCTCTTTGAAATGCTGTTGCAAAGACAGGATTATACTGATAAAAACAGTGAACTAGAATTGCCCAGTTATGCAAGCATAAGCTACTTTATTGATTGACTGATTGATCGAGGCGGGGTCTCATTCTGTTGCCCAGGCTGGAGTGCAGTGGTGCAATCTTGGCTTACTGCAACCTCTGCCTCCCAGAGTTCAAGCAGTTCTCCTGTCTCAGCCTCCTGAGTAGCTGGGATTACAGGCGCATGCCACTACGCCCGGCTAATTTTTTGTATTTTTAGAGATGTGGTTTCACTGTGTTACCCAGGATGGTCATGATCTCCTGACCTCATGATCTACCCGTCTCAGTCTCCCAAAGTGCTGGGATTACAGGCGTCAGCCACCAAGCCTGGCTGCTACTGTATTTTTATACATTGTTTTCTCTTAATCTTCTAAGGTCCTTCTTAGAAAACAGATAACGCCTTTTACCTCCCAAAGGTAAGTTTAGTCATTAGCCAGGATTTGAATTCATGTATTAATATATCCAACCAAATAACACATGCATTGTTTCATGGCCCACATGGACATCACTGACAGCAAGTGTAACTGCCATACAGCAAGCTGCAGATCATGAAAATTTGGTAATAGAGCAGGTGTGGTTGCTTACGCCTGTAATCCCAGCACTTTGGGAGGCAGAGGTGGGAGGGTCACATGAGGTCAGGAATTCAAGACCAGGCTGGCCAACATGGCAAAACCCCATCTTTACTAAAAACACAAAACTTAGCTAAGCACAGTGCTACATGTCTGTAATCCCAGCTACTTAGGAGGCTGAGGCATGAGAATCGCTTGAACCCAGGAGGTGGAGGCTGCAGTGAGCCAAGATTGCACCACTGCACTCCAGCCTAGGCAGAAGAGCAAGACTATCTCAAAAAAACAAAAATAAGGCCAGGTGCGATGGCTCACACCTATAATCCCAGCATTTTTGGGGGGCCAAGGCAGGTGGACAAGCTGAGGTCAGGAGTTGAAGACCAGCCCAGCCAACACAGCAAAACCCCATCTCCACTAAAAACACAAAAATTAGCTGGGTGTGGTGGCATGTGGCTGTAGTCCCATCTACTTGGGAAGGTGAGGCAGGAGAATCACTTGAACCCGGGAGGCGGAGGTGGCAGTGAGCTGAGATTGCACCACTGCACTCCAGCCTGGGTGACAGAGCGAGACTCCATCTAAAAAAATAAATAAAAAAAGGACGGGTGCAGTGGTTCACGTCTGTAATCCCAGCACTCTGGGAGGCTGAGGTGGGCGGATTAGAAGTTCAGCAGTTCGAGACCAGCCTGGCCAACATGGTGAAACCCCATCTCTAAATAAATAAAAACAGAAATAATAAACTATCTTTAAAAATAAAATTTGATAACATAGGCTATCTATGTATTATCTTGAAAAAAAGTCACAATTCTGTCTAGCCTGTACTGAGGGTTCAAACAAACCCCAGCCCTTAACAAGGGAAGATGAGGCCATTTATTCTGTCCATGAACAAAATAAACAAGTAGTTCACCCAGGCTACCTTTCTTCTTCCCACTCCCACCCCCGACCAGTCCCGAGGCACTGATAACCATCCCTACCCAATCTCAAGTTTCCCCTTGAGATAAAATTTGGCTATGGTTGTCCGGACACCAGCATTTCCTTTTGGACAATGACTCAGCTTTTTGGATCCCTTAATTTCCTATGCAAAGGACAGATAGATGAGCTGTTAGATCTCCAGTCATCGTACTAACTAGATGGATCTAATGCCAATGCAATAGCTCCAGTCAGTGAATGGAGATCTCAAATCCTTCACAGTATACCACCATGCCCCACCCTACTCCACCTCCATCAAGATGGAAGAGGCGCCAGGCGTGGTGGCTCACGCCTGTAATCCAAGCACTTTGGAGGCCAAGGCGGGCGGATCACCTGAGGTCGGGAGTTCAAGACCAGCCTGACCAACATGGTGAAACCCCAACTTCAAAAAAAAAAAAAAAGACAGACAGAAGAGGCTTCTCACTGCTCCCTCTAGCAATCTCATTGGCTTAATTTTTTTCCTTCTATAACACAGGCAAAGGAATGGATGTCAGTGCTCAAAAAGGTTCAGATTTTAGAGTATTTCAGATTAGGGATAATGATTCCAACCTCTACCTGGAAGGTAGGGGCAGGGTGGGGGTGGGGGGGAGAGCAATGAAGGAAGCACTGACAGGTAAAATCAACCAGAAAATAATTTGGTATAAAATTCCCAATAATTACAGTTTTAAAACATTTTTCTTTTTTTAAAGTTTTCTTCTTTGTTTTTTAAATTTTAAAACATCAACTCAAAGCAGAAATCCAATAATTACAAATAAAAGTTACACTGTGGTGGGGCACAGTGGCTCACACCTGTAATCTCAGCACTTTGGGAGACCAAGACAGGCATATCACTTGAGGTCAGGAGTGGGAGACCAGCCTGGCCAACATGGTAAAACCCCATCTCTTAGCTGGGTGTGGTGGCTCACATCTGCAATCCCAGCACTTTGGGAGATGAGACAGGTGGATCACTGGAGGTTGGGAGTTTGAGACCAGCCTGACCAACATGGAAAAACCCTGTCTCTACTAAAAATACAAAATTGGCTGGCCGTAGTGGCATATGCCTGTAATCCCAGCTACTTGGGAGGCTGAGGCAGGAGAATCGCTTGAACCTGGGAGGCAGAGGTTGTGGTAGCAGAGATTACCCCATGCTTTCCAGCCTGGGCAACAGAGGGAGATGAGACTCTGTCTCAAAAAAAAAAAAAAAAAAAATTATACTGTGAATTTTCCAAATGCTTCATTTTATAAATCTGCAAGTAAGAAAAATTTCACTGCCAATTATACAAATTCCATTAATGAACTCCAAAGCTCTGAAAAAGTTTTATAACACCAGAAAATTATGAGGTACCATGTCAATTAACATTTTACTCCATTTTATTGTTAACCAAACTATAAATGTGCTTATCTTTATTATCAGACTTTTTTCTTTTTTTGTTCTGAGATAGCATCTTGCTCTGTCACCCAGGCTGGAGTGCAGTGGAGCAATCTTGGCTCACTGCAACCTCCACCTCCTGGGTTCAAGCGATTCTCCTGCCTCCACCTCCCAAATAGCTGGGACTATAGGCGTAAGCCACCACGCCCAGCTAATTTCTGTATTTTTAGTAGAGATGGGGTTTCACCATGTTGACCAGTCTGATCTTGAACTCCTGACCTAGTGACCCACCTGCCTTGGCCTCCCAAAGCGCTGGGATTACAGGCCTGAGCCACTGCATAGATCTGGTTTTAATGGCATTTTTAAAATATAAACTCCCATGGCACCCAGTTTTTTGTTTTTTTTTTTTCCTGAGACAGAGTCTCACTATCACCCAGGATGGAGTGCAGTGGCATGATCTTGGCTCACTGCAACCTCCGCCGCCCCGGTTCAAGTGATTCTCCTGCCTCAGTCTCCCAAGTAGCTGGGACTACAGGTGCGCACTGCTACTAGCTAATTTTCATATTTTCAGTAGAGATGGGTTTTCACCATGTTGGACAGGATGGAGCACCCAGACTTCTTTAAAATACATACTACACTTGGGTAGCCGGGCGTAGTGGCTCACACCTGTAATCCCAGCACTTTGGGAGGCCAAGGAGGGCAGATCACAAGGTCAAGAGATCAAGACCATCCTGGCCAATATGGTGAAACCCCGTCTCCACCAAAAATACACAAAAATTAGCTGGGCATGGTGGCACATGCCTATAGTCCCAGCTAATTGGGAGGCTGAGGCAGGAGAATTGCTTGAACCTGGGAGACGGAGATTGCAGTGAGCCGAAATTGTGCCACTGCACTCCAGCCTGGTGCCTGGCAACAGAGCGAGACTCTGTCTCAAAAAAAAAAAAAAACAAAAAAAAACAAAACACATACTACATTTGGAATTTATTCTGTGTCATCTTCCCCAACTAGGTTATTAGCAACATGGGGGTAGGCACTGCTATATCCTTCAGCCTAGAGTTCCTGACACACAGTAAGTACTTGGTCCCAGAGGTGCCAAATAAATCAATCACTGAGTGTCACTGAAAGTTTAACTCCTTTAATAACATTGAGGCTGAGATTCTGGTTAAGTCTATTCAGAGAAGCTGCTGGATAGAAGACATAACAGGTACTGGATGGCCTGTCTGCAGGCCTAAGTCTAGACCCTATCTCCTATCTCTTACTCCATTTCCCTACATTGCACTAAGGACTTCTCAGTTCTGCCAAACTTGGGAAGGAGTGTATGATGGTGGCCTCTTCCTCCCATGAGATGTCCACTTGACTGGCCTCTTCCTTCTTACTGTGCTTAACCTCCTGGGCATAGAACTGGAGTTCCCAAAGATGTTTCTGCTTCAGGAATGTGAATCCAAGAGCAAACAGCAAATGGGAAAGCAGAACTCATTTTTGTGTTTAACAAGAAAGAAGAGATAATATTTGCATAGAAAATCCCAGAGAGACTACACCAAAACTTAATAGTTACTTTTGGGGAATGAGAACATGAGGAAACGTTGGGGGGTGTGTGGTATTCCTGTGATTTCTATCTTTTGTTCTACAGCCTTCTTTACTCTTCAAGTAGTTGTTAACCAAGAATATTAAAACAACATAATGTCATTAACCTAAATCAAAGTGCCTCTCACTTCAAACATTTAGCTGATATATCAGTACAGGTGTGTTTACTTTTCTATTAGATCCAAAGCGGAAGTAGTGATTTTTAAAAAACAATTCTAGTAGCAACAGGAAAAATCAAATTGAAAACATATCCAGCACTGTGGACTTAAAAAGGTTAAGTGCACTTGCCAACAAGAAGTCTCAACTCAACTGAAATTGAAGTGGCTTCCAAATCAATTCCTATTGTCCCCTGAATTCCTTCTTATGTAGGAGGGAAAAACAAATTCCATATGGAGATTGGTATGTGGAAAAATTGCGTTCTTTGTTTTTGTTATTTTAGTTGCCCAGGCTGGGTAAGTTTGTGGGTTTTTTTTTTTTTTTCCGATCTAAGAGCGTTGAGACGGAGTTTTGCTCTTGTTGCTCAGGCTGGAGATCAATTGGCTCAATCTCGGCTCACTGCAACCTCCGCCTCCCAGGTTCAAGCGATTTTCCTGCCTCAGCTTCCCGAGCAGCTGGGATTACCGGCGTGCGCCACCAGGCCCGGCTAATTTTGTACTTTTAGTAGAGACAGGGTTTCTCCTTGTTGGTCAGGCTGGTCTCCAACTGCCGACCTCAGGTGATCTGCCCACCTTGGCCTCCCAAAGTGCTGAGATTACAGGCCTGAGCCACAACGCTCGGCCATATCTTTTCCTTTTTTACACTAGAAAGTTGCGATTTTTTTCTTTTTTTAAATATTGAAACGTTGCAAGAAACTTTAACTCTTTAAACCAGCTCTGTACAATACAGTAACCACTAGACACAAGTGGCTAAGGAGCACTTGAAACGTGGTCAGTCAGAACTGCGATGTGTTGTACGTGTAAAATACACCCAGCATTTCAAAGAGTAAGACTCAAAAAAAGAGAATGAAAATACCTCATTAATAACTTTCATACTAATTATGGGTTGAAATTTTTTTAATATAAATTGGGTTAAATAAGATATGCTATAAAAATTAACATCATTGGTTTCTTTTCACTTTTTTAAAAAACGTGACTACAGGAAAATTTGAAATTACCATTTTAAATGAAACTTGCATTCTATTTCTGTTGGACAGCGCAGCTGGGAGCCTTAGTTGCCTCGAGGGTGAAATGGGGATAACACCCACCTCGAGCGGAGACTGTAAGGATTCAGTGAATCAAAGCCGGTAAACTATTAGCATATAGTTGCTATTAGCCAAGCAAGGGCAGATGCCAAGGCAGGCGCTCGCACTAGAAGAGACAGAAGTGGCTGAAACCGCCCTCACCTGGCTTCCAGCTACTGCAAGGTCAGCCTTTGGGGGATACGCCCTCCTTTTTTCCCTCTGGCTGACTAGAAGCTGTACTATCATCCCTGGAATCCGAGGCCGCCCCAGAGTCTGCAGTGCTGCCAAGCGAAGGGGTTGGTGAATGAGGGGGGGCCTCTGCTTCCCACAAGCCGGTTTCATTGCGCAGAAATAGAGGTGCAGTGAGGAGGAACTCCAAAACCAGGGCGGCCTGCTCGGAAGAAGAAGGCTGGGCAGGCCAAAAGAGCGGCCTGGACGTCAGCCTTGGCAGCCCCACCTACCTGCCCTGCAGATTCCCCAAACGCCGCGGCGGCCGCAGCTCCCGAGGCTGCGACGGCTTCTCGCTCCACACGGCCCACTGGCTCCTGCTCCATCGTCGTCGCCACCACAGGGCTGCTGGCGCTGGCGAAACAGAGGGTAATGGCCGATAAGCCCACTTCCATCCTCGGCCTCCCCGCCCAGTCGCTGGCCAAGCCCCGCTGTCGGGAAGTGGGACTCACCCGCAGCGCCCGCCTCGCGCCGCACCCAGCCAAGTCTCAGCGAGACAGACTAGCTCGCCGTGAGGGGAGGGGCCGGCCTGAGGGGAGGGGCCGGCCTGAGAGGCGGGGCCGGCCCGCGCCCCGCCTCCCCCACCTGGCCCCGGACCCGGAGAGCCGGCCAACTGCAGTCTGGGAGGCGCAACTACCGGCTCGCGCGGGGCGGGGCGGGGCGGGGCCGCGCGGGGCGTCGCTTCCGGCCAGGCCCGTGTCCCGAGCTCCTGGATCCCCGCCTGGCACCGCCTGTGACGTCATTCCTGGTGCGCGTACCTGAAGCCGGGCGTCTGGACCTCCGCGCTGCCCCTCACTAGCTGCGTCCGGGGCGGTCACCCTCGCGGGACCTCAGTTTCTGCCCTTGTAAAATGGGGACAGCTGCGTCCTTGTACTTCAAAGGCTAGTGATGTGGTTGCTGCAAATGTAAAATGTACGGCTCGTGCTACACTTGCCATTCCTAACGTGGGTGACAGTCCAGCCAAAATACCCTCGAAAAAAAGAGCCCCAGCGGTGATTTTTGCTTACTCTTGTCTGAAATACTTAAGTATAACTATAGAATATGTTCAGTGAAAACACCTGAAGGAGAGCAAAGCGCAGTAGTAAGCTTCCATCTTGACAAATGTAAGGAATGTTTTATCTGTGTTTTTTTGAGTCGTGTGTATGTTAGAGGGGATGTCCCAGACTTTTTCCGTCTTTCGCAGTGTTGAACCAAAATAAATCATTGCAATTACTGCATGACTTCAACATCAAACAAGTCGGAGGTTCTGCAGGTAAATGATTTATTTTGTTTTAGCATGAACGTTTTCACAAATATCTAGAGATCAAAACCAAAACACATTATTTTGGCTATGGGAGGCTTCATTTGATACTTAAAATTCCATTTTCATTACCAGTCTCAGTTCAGAAATCGTCCCAAAAGTTATATGACCTCGTAAATGTTTTTCATCATAACAATATCAGGCCCAAATATTAAATATTCCTTTCTCTTCTGTGCCAAAGTTCTTCTCCTTATCCTCTGCCCAATGTTCTTGCACACTTCGTATGCCATGTATAACTAGAACCTAAAAACCAAAACCTTTAAAAACAAATAATCATTTGAAAATCATCTACACCTTAAAAACTGGTTGGAAATCCATAAAGCTCTGTATCCTGGTAATCAAGTTATGTTGCTGCTGAAGTAAACAAATTAGTACATGATCTGATTCTGTATGGTGGCATTAGCAGGGAATTGAAACAGTCCGAAATAGCCAAACCAAACTCGGCCATAAATTGAAAACGAAAATAAAGAACCAATTGTTAAGACTTCATGAATTGGCATTCATAAACAACACAGCTCTGCATTATATGTATTCAAAATATCTTCCTTCTTACTGGCAAGAAGGGAAATCAACAATCTTTATTACTAAAAATTTGTGGAATATTTATAAATGCATGATTTTATTTTCCAAACTGGCAATTAAATATCAAACTACAATTTTCATTGCTGAAGCAGAATATATTTTCACAGTTTATATATGTATTTCTTAGTTTACTGAAAATTCAAAATACAAATTATATTCTAACATGAACTGGAAGTATTTCCTAAAAAGTTATTTTTGTCAGGTGCGGTGGCTCACGCCTGTAATCCCAGCACTTTGGGAGGCTGAGGCGGGTGGATCACAAGGTCAGGAGATCGAGACTATCCTGGCTAACACGGTGAAACCCCATCTCTACTAAAAATACAAAAAATTAGCCAGGTGTGGTGACACATGCCTGTAGTCCCAGCTACTCGGGAGGCTGAGGCAGGATAATCATTTGAACCAGGTAGGAGGAGGTTGCAGTGAGCCAAGATGAGGCCACTGCGCTCTAGTCTGGGCAACAGAGCAAGACTCCGTCTCAAAAAAAAACTATTTTTAACATAAATATGCAATTGAGCAGTTTATTACAAATCAACAACTCAGAGCAACATAAAAGCATAGAAATTCTAATGGTTTTATTCCTTCAGTGCTGCCTGGAAATAATAATAATAAAATAAATGCTAATGGTTTTATTTTGGGCATTTATATTTTTGTCATTATTTCCAAACTGTTACAGCTCAACTAAAAATAGGCCCTGGGCCGGGCGCGGTGGCTCAAGCCTGTAATCCCAGCACTTTGGGAGGCCGAGGCGGGTGGATTACGAGGTCAAGAGATCGAGACCATCCTGGTCAACATGGTGAAACCCCGTCTCTGCTAAAAATACAAAAAATTAGCTGGGCATGGTGGCGTGTGCCTGTAATCCCAGCTACTCAGGAGGCTGAGGCAGGAGAATCGCCTGAACCCAGGGAGGCGGAGGGTGCGGTGAGCCGAGATCGCGCCATTGCACTCCAGCCTGGGTAACAAGAGCGAAACTCCTCCCTCTCAAAAAAAAAAAAAAAAAATAGGCCCCAAGGCAACAATTTTTCCTTCTTTGACTTTGTAACATAAACAGTACTGTAGCACTATGACAAAAATAAATTCAAGTATTACAATAATTTATCCACTTGAAAACATATCTAAATTTATCATTTAATGATACATATAGAGCTAAAAAGCTATATGTATCATTTAGTGATACATATAGAGCTACTTGGGAGGCTGAGGCACGAGAATTGCTTGAATCTGGGACGTGGAGGTTGCAATAAGCTGAGATTGTGCCTCTGCACTCCAGCCTTGGTGACAGAGTAAGACTCCATCTCAAAAAATAAAAAATTAGCTGAGCGCCGGGCGCGGTGGCTCAAGCCTGTAATCCCAGCACTGTGGGAGGCCGAGGCGGGTGGATCACGAGAGGTCAAGAGATCAAGACCGTCCTGGTCAACATAGTGAAACCCCCGTCTCTACTAAAAATACAAAAAATCAGCTGGGCATGGTGGTACATGCCTGTAATCCCAGCGACTCAGGAGGCCGAGGCAGGAGAATTGCCTGAACCCAGGAGGCGGAGGTTGCGGTGAGCCGAGATCGTGCCATTGCACTCCAGCCTGGGTAAAAAGAGCGAAACTCCGTCTAAAAAAAAAAAAAAAAAAAAATTAGCTGAGCATGGTGGCATACTCCAATACTCTCAATTCTTCAGGAGACTGAGGTGGGAGGATTGCCTAAGCTCAGGTCAAGGTTGTAGTGAGCCATGACTGCACCACTGTACTCCAGCATGGGTGGCAGAGCAAAGACCCTGTGTCAACACAAAATTTTAAGAATCACTTATCTCCCCTCTCTTGGTTTTACAGTTTGTTGGTATGTAATTTCTAAATTTGTTTTTGTCTTATAATTACATGAGCACTGTAAGCTTAAGGAAGCTATACCTAGTTTTATGGTTACATGTATTTGACATTATAATAAAATTCAGGAAGAATTCAGTGTTGTACAGTATTAGAGCTAGCTAGTGGCCTACGTTGGGAGTATATCAAAAAACAATGGAGTCAATTTTAACAATAGTGAAAAACAAATGGAAATTTGTTCAAATTATTAAAGGATTTGATTTTGATATATGGTTTAGCTGTGTCCCCACCCAAATCTCATCTTGAATTGTAGCTCCCATAATTCCCACATGTTGTGGGAGGGACCTGGTGGTAGTTAATTGAATCACGAGGGCAGTTTCACTCATACTATTCACACGGTAGCAAATAAGTCTCATGAGATCTGATGGTTTTATAAGGGGAAACCCCTTTCGCTTGGTTCTCATTCTGTCGTCTGCTGCCATGTAAGATGTACCTTTCACCTTCCATCATAATTGTGAGGCCTCCCCAGACACATGGAACTGAGTCAAATAAACCTCTTTCTCATTATAAATTACCCAGTCTTGGGTATGTGTTTAACAGCAGCATGAAACAGACTAATATAGTAAACTGGTACTGGTAGAGTGGGATGCTGCTGTAAAGTACCCAAAAATGTGGAAGCGACTTTGGAACTAGGTGACAGGCAGAGGTTGGAACAGTTTGGAGGGCTCAGAATAAGACAGGAAAATGTGGGAAAGTTTGGAACTTCCTAGAGATTTGTTAAATGGCTTTGACCAGAATGCTGATAATGATATAGACAATGAAATCCAGGCTGAGGTGGTCTCAGATGGAAATGATGAACTTGTTGGGAACTGGCTTGTAAAGGTGACTCTTGCTATGTTTGAGCAAAAAGACTGGCAGTATTTTGCCTCTGCCCTGGAGATTTGTGGAACTCTGAACTTGAGGGAGATGATTTAGGGTATCTGGCAGAAGAAATTGCTAAGCAGGAAACCATTCAAGAGGTGACTTGGTCAATATGCAACGCTGTTTTAAAAAAATAAGAGGCGACTTGGGTGCTGTTAAAAGTATTCTGTTTTAAAAGGGAAACAGCATAAAAATTCAGAAAATTTTCAGCCTATGTGATAGAAAAACCCATTTTCTGAGGAGAAATTCAAGCTGGCTGCAGAAATTTGCATAAGTAATGAGAAGCCGCCTGGCAAGGTGGCTCATTCCTGTAATCCCAGCACTTTGAGAGGCTGAGGTAGGTGGACCACCTGAAGTCAGGAGTTCGAGACCAAACTAACCAACATGGAGAAACCCCACCTCTACTAAAACTACAAAATTAGCTGGGCGTGGTGGCACATAGCTGTAATCCTAGCTAATCAAGAGGCTGAGGCAGGAGAACTGCTTGAACCCAGGAGGCAGAGGTTGTGGTGAGCTGAGATCATGCCATTGCACTCCAGCCTGGGCAACAAGAGCAAAATTCCATCTTAAAAAAAAAAAAAAGGCCAAATGTTAATCACCAAAACAATGGGGAAATGTCTCCAGGGCATGTCAGGCCTTTGCAGCAGCTTCTCCCATCACAGGCCTAGAGGCCTAGGAGGAAAAAATGGTTTTGTAGGCTGGGCTCAGGGCCCTCCTGCTGTGTGCAGCCTTGGGACTTGGTGTCCTGTGTCCCAGCCACTCTAGCCATGGCTAAAAGGGGCCAAGGTATAGCCCAGGCCATGGCTTCAGAGGGTAGAAGTACCAAGCCTTTGCAGCTTCCACTTGGTGTTGAGCCTGCAGGTGTACAGAACTGGGGTTTGGGAACCTGCACCTAGATTTCAGAGGATATAAGGAAACACCCAGATGTAGGGATTCAAGATTGCTGTAGGGGCAGGGCCCTCACAGAGAACCTCTGCTAGGGCAGTCCAGAAGGGAAATGTGGGGTTGGAGCCCACTGGGGCACTACTTAGTGTTGCCGTGAAAAGAGGGCCACCGTCTTCCAGACCCCAGAATGGTAGATCCACCAACTGCTTGCACTGTGCATCTGGAAAAACCACAGACAACATCAGCCTGTGAAAGCAGCCAGGAGGGGGACTGTTCCTGCAAAGCCACAGGGGCAGAGCTGCCCAAGGCTGTGAGAGCCCAGCTCTTGCATCAGGCGTGATCTGGAAATGTGACATGGAATCAAAGGATATCATTTTGGAGCTTTGAGATTTGACTGCCCCACTGTATTTCGGACTTGCATGGGGCCTATAGCCCCTTTGTTTTGGCCAATTTTTTACCCAATGCCTGTACCCTCATTGTATCTAGGAAGTAACTAACTTGCTTTTGATTTTACAGGTTTACAGGTTCAGAGGTGGAAGGGACTTGCCTTGTCTCAGGTGAGACTTTGGACTGTGACTTTTGAGTTAATGCTGAAATAAGAATTTGGGGGACTGTTGGGAAGGCATGATGGGTTTTGAAATGTAAGATCTGGGAGAGGCCAGGGGCAGAATGATATGGTTTGGCTGGTAGAATATAAATGAATTATGGAGGCGGTTTCCCCCATACTGTTCTCATAGTAGTGAATAAATCTCATGAGATCTGATAGTTTTTTAAGGAGAAAACCCTTTCGCCTGGTTTGCATTCTCTCGTTGCCATGTAAGATGTGCCTTTTGCCCTCCAACATGATTGTGAGGCCTCCCCAGCCACCTGGAACTGTAAGTCCATTAAACCTAATTTTCATTATAAATTACCCAGTCTTGGGTATGTCTTTATCAACAGCATCAAAACAGACTAATACACGTCTATAGTACTTACGCTGTGAAACATCACCTTGATAAAAATTGTGAGAACTAAAGGATAGCTTTTGTAACTAAAATGCCAGTTTGAGGACCTAATGGAATCAATTTTAAAGAACATTTTAAATTCCCTAATTTTAGCAGAAAAAGAAAGATAAAGGGAAGCTGAACAAGGTATCCTGAACCTTTAGTTGTCCTTTGTTTTATTTATTTATTTAAAGACAGGGTCTCACTGTCATCCAGGCTGGAATGCAGTGGTGCCATTTTGGCTCATTGCAGCCTTGACCTCCTAGGCCCAAGCGATTCTTCCACCTCAGTCCTCTAGGAAGCTGGGACTACAGGCACACACCACCACACCTGACTTTTTTTTTTTCCTTCTTGAGATATTTAGAGAGCCTCACTCCATCGCCCAGGCTGGAGTGTGGTGGCATGATCTTGGCGCAGTGCAACTTCTGCCTCCCAGGTTCAAGTGATTCTCATGCCTCAGCCTCCCAAGTAGCTGGGATTACAGGCGCCCTCCACCATGACCAGCTAATTTTTGTATTTTTGGTAAAAACGGGGTTTCACCATGTTGGTTAGGCTGGTCTCCTAACCTCAAGTGACCTGTCTACCTTGGCCTCCCAAAGTGCTGGTTTCACAGGTATGAGACACTGTACCCAGCCTACTTTCTGTATCTTTTGTAGCAATGGAATTTCTTTCCCAGGTTGGTTTGGAACTCCTGGGTTCAAGCGATCTGCCCACCTCAGCCTCTCAAAAGTGCTGGCATTACAGGCATGAGCTACTGTACTCAGTTGCTTTTTAGATGAGGTCTCGCTATGTTACCAAGGCTGGAGTGCAGTGGCTATTCATCAGCAGTGACTATTCATCAATGATCATAGCTCACTGCGGCCACCAACTCCTGGACTCAAGCAACTGACTGATTCTCCCACCTCAGCCTCACAAGTAACTGGTTCTACAGCTGTGCATCAGTGTCTTGTTCACTGTGCCTGTCTTGTCACTGTTGTTTCTGCTTCTGAAAAATATGGTTTGTGTCAGACACAAATATTTAAAACTATGCCTGAAGCCATAAAGGTTCTTATGGCCAGAGGTCTCAATTTCCTTTTTTTGTCAGTAGGCAAAATTGATACCTTGAGAATAGAAATCACAAACATGTACCTAAAAAAGGTAGTATGTATCAGTAGGCAAAATTGATACCCTGAGAATAGAAATCACAAACATGTACCTAGAAAAGGTAGTATGCATCAGTTTAATTAGGAACTACTTTGGAGAGCTGTATTTTCTCTGTTGTCAAATATAGCCTGGTAAGATTTCTGCAGAACACAAGATACATCATTTTAACATGGTATATAATTTTCTATAGGGTTATTCTAGTCTTTAGCTAGCAAAAAAAACTAGTGGGATATAAAACGTTTGTCCAAGTTAACAAGAAAATCAATTGCATTCTTTTTTTTTTTTTTTGAGAGGAAGTTTCACATTCTTGTTGCCCAGGCTGAGTGCAGTGGCCTGGTCTCAGCTCACTGCAACCTCTATCTCCGGGGTTCAAGCAACTCTCCTGACTCAGCCTCTCAAGTAGGTGGGATTACAAGCACCTGCCACCACGCCCGATTAATTTTTTAAAAAAAATTTTAGTAGAGATGAGGTTTCACCATGTTAGCCAAGCTGGTCTCAAACTCCAGACCTCAGGTGATCCGGCCACCCACCTCAGCCAAAGTGCCAAGATAACAGGCATGAGCCATCACTCCCAGCCCATTATATTCCTAATGTAATTGTTTTTTAAAGATACTTCAGTTTACAAGACTTTTTAAAAACACGAGTCATAAAAAATTAGGACCATAAAAACTATTTCTTAGGCCAGGCGAGGTGGCTCACACCTGTAATCCCAGCACTTTGGGAGGCCAAGGCGGGTGGATCACAAGGTCAGGAGATTAAGACCATCCTGGCTAACATGGTGAAACCCCATTTCTAATAAAAAATACAAAAAAATTAGCCAGGCGTGGTGGCACGAACCTGTAATCCCAGCTACTCGGGAGGCTGAGGCAGGAGAATCGCCTGAACCAGGGAGGCAGAGGTTGCAGTGGGCCAACTGCATTCCAGCCTGGGTGACAGAGCAAGACTCCGTCTAAAAAAGAAAAAAAAAAAAAAAACTGTTTCATTCTCTCCTAGTTATAGAAATCAATCCTTGCTGAAGATCAGTTCATACTAATTCAAAATACATTGTTATACCATATAATCTTATTGATGTCAATAATAAATAGTAAATTGATGTCAATAATTATTAATATTCCAGTGTTGTCAATTCCTTATTTAAAAGCCATTGTTCTAAATGACTCATACAGCAATCCAACATAACCAAAAACCAAATAAACTTTGTCCCATTCTCGTTATTTATTTTTTTAACTTTTATTTTAGGTCCAGGTCATTTTTTTTGTTTTTGTTTTTGAGGTGGAGTTTCACTCTTGTTACCCAGGCTGGAGTCCAATGGCATGATCTTGGCTTACTGCAACCTCCACCTTCCAGGTTCAAGGGATTTCTCTGTCTCAGCCTCCCAAGTAGCTGAGATTACAGACATATGCTACCACACCCGGCTAATTTTTATATTTTCAATAGAGGCAGGGTTTCACCATGTTGGTCAGGCTGATCTCAAACTACTGTCATGTCATTTTTAATATGTAATAGTGACAACCTAATATTTGAAATTATTTTTCCTTTAGGAGATGTATACATTAGCTATTATCATCAAAGTATATCAAATTCTTCAAGTATATTTTTGGTATGTAGAAAACAACAAAAATGGCTTTAAAATAATCAAAGATAGGCTGGGACAGTGTCTCACACCTGTAATCCCAGCATTTTAGGAGGCTGAGGCGGCTGGATTACAAGGTCAGAGTTTGAGACCATCCTGACCAGCATGGTGAAACCTGTAATCCCAGCTACTCAGGATGCTGCGGCAGGAGAATTGCTTGAACTGAGGAGGCGGTGGAGGTTGCAGTGAGCTGAGATTGCACCACTGCACTCCAGCACGGGCAACAGAGTGAGACTCCGTCTCAAAAAAAAAAAAAAAAAAAAAAAAAAAAAAAAAAAAAAAAAAAAAAA